GAAATGGTTAAAGGTTTACAAAATTCATCAGTTTGACGCTTAAAAGTATTTAATGTATTTTATTGTGAAAAATTATTAATAATAAATAAAATGTATTTTATAAAAACATACAAAGAATATAACTTTTAAAAACTTAAATTTAGTATTTGCTCCATAAATATTTGATCATCGATTTAAATTTCATCGAAAGAGTAAAATTGTACTTTATCCCTTATGTTAAAAAAGAAAACTTTCCATGAAGCATTCATTTTTTTCTCTCGTATACATTAACTTGAATCCCGCATCCGACGAGACTTTCCAACAACAAGAAAGAAAAACTTTATACTCTTATTTCTATTTAAGTTCACTTATTTTCGATTGCCAGAGGCGTAAAGAAAAAAAAAGAAGAAGAAGTAGAAGAAAACGAGGAAACAGAGAAAGTAGAAGCATTCTCTTTCAGATTGCTTGAAAGTTTGTTAACGAGAGAAAGCATTTAACAATAGCAATAATAATAACAATAAGCAGGGATTCGCGCAGAGAGAATATCCAATTCCACGGCTACCCAACAAACACACATACACACTTTCCCTTTACATTGAGTAATTGATTAATTATTCTATAAAGCCGCAATCTCCGCCTCGGGACTCCGTATTAATGATTTAACATTGTTTTCCAAGTTATTTCCGTGCCTGACAACGTCATTGTTCCGTCGCTCCGAGTGATTTAGTTGTCTTTGGTCGGCCCTTAAAGACCGAAACAACCGTGGAAACCCCGTAAAACCGAAGCCATAAAACGAAGGAATACAGTAAATCCTAACCTGTGATATTTTTAATCGGTTCCACGTAAGGCATACACATTTACTGTTATTTACCGGTAAATATTTTTAGTAAAAACCGGTTTACCGGTAAATTACTGATATTTTTGTGAAGTTCTTTCAAATTATGTTTTAAAAAACGTCCAAACTAGCCCGTAATCTGCATTTAAAGCAAAAAGATTTTGTTGAACTGAACTGAACTTCTTTAACGTGAACAGATGAAACTTCAAAAATGTCAAATGAAAACGATGACGACTAGTGACAACTCACTCCTTCAAGCGTCTTATTTATATAGGAGGAGTTAGTAAATCTTTGAAATATTGGGTTGAGGATCACTAAAAAAATAGAGGCTATCAATCAAATTTGCTTACAAAGAAGCTAACCTGAAAATATAAATTTCAACATTTGAATTAATATATAAAATTCTATCTATCTGCATTAGTTTTTATTTATGGCTGTCGCCGAACCACGAAATATTTCGTCAATTTTCGCAGAGTTGCAGGTTTTAATGGTCGTAGTACACTGGTCTAAAGTTTAAATTACTCAGATTTGTTGCTATACCATCTTCAGACATGTATCTTATTGATGTATATTCCTAAATTATATAGTGTGTACAAATTGTACAAAAATTGGACAACATCCGAAAAGTTTGCAGTAAAACAACTTGCAGTCAAAAGCACTTAAATTTGTATGTATTTTTAAGTACAAATCCTACCCAGCTGTTCATTACGCAAGACACTAGACTCTAGTTTAGTTCTACTAACTTAAGATATTATACTCTATAACGAAATGTATAGACGTCATAGAGATAAGTTCATTCTTATAATGACTTATATGATTCATTATTATAACGACCGTCGGGGTTTCCAAAAGTTGCACCCTAAAAAAGTCCTTCTTTTTCACACTGGTGTTTGTTGGTTATGGAATGGAAATGTTGTTAGCCGGGTTATTGAATTGAAAAACGAAATAATATCCAATCGTATTAAAGCTGCAAAAATAAGTCCAAAAATATATGTTTTCTAATCCTTTATTTTTTGTTTCATTATTAAAATATGGCGGATGAGAACGGAGCTCTTGAATATTTAAAAATTAAACTAATAACATTAAAAAAATGTTGGGAACCACTGCACGGGAAATACATATTCGTGACGTACTTTTGAAAAGCTTAGTTTGTTAAATCATCTTTATGTGCAACATAACTCTGAATTTCCGAGTAGAAAAATAAACAGAAATTACCGGTATTTCTTATGAAATATTTACCGGTAATTTCAATAATCATATTCGTAAAACAGAGCCACGTCACGGCCCGCAATTGGCGGATCCTTCGGGTTCAATCGTGTCATTAGCATAATTCATTAGCGGCTCCAGTTATTAAATTCTAAATCCGAGAATTGCCGTAATCCCATTTAGAAACCCCAATAATAGCAATCAACGATGATTAACGAATTGCAGATGGGTAGAGAGAGAGAAAAAAAAATAATATAGGTGATACAACTTAGATGTTTCGAGGGAGAAAATCTATTTTCGCCTGGTTCCTAAATGGTTTTTTAAGTGCTCTCGGTCCAAATCGTTAGCTCCTTCTCTCTTCCAACCGCATCTATCTATCTTTCTCTCTCTCTCTCTCTCTCCGGCCATTTATATTTTTTTCCCGCATTCAGACTGCGGTCCTGCTGGAAATGTAATTAAAAACCGTTCAGGCTGTGCTAAGATAATTTGATCAATTTATTATTCAGTTCGGGCAAGGTGGAACGTGATTCTACAGGTCACGCCACTCACTTAGCAATTATTTATCGAGCATTAAGTGCGAACTTAGGCTTGTACAATCCTATGTAAACGTAACGAACAAAACAAAAAGTAAACACAACGCAGGAATTATGGAATGGGGAACATGGAATTCGTGTTAGGCCGAATGAAAAATGCATATACTAGCTCGGAACGCAATTTATTAAAGCCTCTATCTCATCATTGTTGCAAACCGGAAATACCAACGACAAAAAACCAAATCTAATAAAACCTCCGCAACAACAACAAAAATAATTCCCATATATAAAAATATACATATTTTCAATTCAACTTATTGCAATCACAGAGACGTGAAATGAGAGAATATTGGATTTTTTTTAATGGAGCTTTATTAAATTACTTTAATAATGCATGACGGGAAAATCAATTTCCCGGAAATTCGTACGATATGTACAATTAAATTTGAATCGCTTCGGTGGATTTTCTGCGAAATGTAAAAAATAAATAAGAAGGCTTGACTGAATTAAGCCTCGAGGTATTCATTTATTATTTAATATATACATGATACTTCCGGAATTCTGTTGTTTTGTTATGGCGGGACGCGAGTGGAATTATACTCACCTTCTTGGATTCCTGCATTTTTTGTTTGTCGTCACATTTTATTTGCAGTCTCTTCCGTTCGAGAATTCTGTTTAATTATTTCCCTCGACGCATGTTTTTCGTGATGGTTGTGCAACGAAACATTTCTTACATAATGAATATTTCAGAATTTAAGGAACTTAATATTAATATGTGTTGAAAGTAATAATTTTATTTAATATAATTAATTTAAAATAATGATCTACAATTTTGTACAATTAGTTCAGTAATTCATTTTCCTATCCTATCTATTGCTTAAATTTACAATATTTTCAAAATAGATTTTTTAATCACTGAAACAGTTAAAAATACATAAATAATTAACTTTTTGGATATTGATCACATGTCTTTCTGCTCTAAGAAACATTATTTATTTTATCTAAAATCTGTATTATTTTTCTAAGAACTAAGAAAGTTTGTTTTATTTCTTTTACTTTTGTTTCCAGATCACCAGTGCGTAGCCCAACTCTAGATGTAAATAAGGTGTGGTACCTCCATTTGACAATTGCCCCACTGACTTATGCATGACCGCCTCTGTCTTCCTAGTTAGTATGTCTATATCCAAATTAATTTTCTCGTTTTTCGTTATGCCCAGATATTTTGTGTGGGCAACTTGCTTTATTATTTTTTTAGGTAGTTATAAACATAGTTAGATATATTATAAATATTTTCACTTCAACTTTAAATTACATATTTTTCAAGGCAAATTAATTTTCCTTTTCGTTGATTATAATTATTTTTTTACTTTTATAATATTTTTTTCATACTAATTTAACTTTTTTAAATATCCTGTAATATATTTTCAAAACAGAAAATACACGAAAATATATTATGATTAAAAGTTTAATTCGCATATTTTTTTGTGATATTTGTCATTATATGAAAAAAAAAATGTGTCGTAAGTACCTCGCATTGTGCGGTTTTCTTTAGTCCGGTTTATTATTATTTACTTTGAATACGTTCAAAACAAAATTAAAATATCTAAACAAAAAATATTATACAAAATTATTTTTTTATACTTAAAACTGATTATCTTTCCCTTCACTATAGTCTCTTTTTATGCAGTTTGTTTTGGTATGTATTTAACTTCTTTATTTGTCGGATTTCAAACAGTCCAGATATTTTTTACATTTTTTTTAAATTTCATATCATGTAATATTTGTCATTTTATATAAACTAAAGGAATCCTAATTGTGGACTTTCAAATCACATAGAAAAACGACATATTTATGTATAAAAAATAGTTTTGTGAATTAATTTTTTAGATTATATTTTTATTTTTCAATTGAAATTTTCAAACCGTATAATTGTGAATCCGCACAGACCGAAAACGCACTATGTGAGGTAGCTACAAATTTCGTATTTTAATATCCTTTTCGCAAAATATTTATGTATTTTGTCACTATAGAATTGACTATATATTTACATACATTATTTTACATTTTTTTTCTGGAAACACACACAATTCATCTGAAATTGAAATATGTGACAGAATATTTTCTTCCCTCGCGTATGGAAATTGCATTTTTTGTTCTTTCCACTTGAGGTTACATCAGTGAAAGAAAAAAATATAATACTCTACATGAAAAAAATCGAAAACAAAAAATGTCCATTACTCTGGCAATATTTTAATGCATAAATTTATGTACTTACAAAAAAAAAAAACTAAAAAGAAAACAAATAACTGATCTCACCCCTTCTGTATCTGGTGTAACTGATGTACTGCTGACCATTCTGGAAACGTAGATATCTGCAAATACTGAAAGCAGACGAAAAAAAGTTTGTATGGTGTACAGCGAACAACAAAAACTGGTCGGAGGGTGCATAAATAACGCAGTTCAAATACACGTGAATATTAATACTGTTCCGAAATGCAAATGAAGCACGATCATATTTAATTTCACAAAAAAAGCCCTCAGGAACAATAAAAAAATGTACACATAAACACGTATAAAAAGAGTAACAAATGATACGTGTGTATATTTTTTGTGTGTTTGTTTGCTATAACATTAACTTTGTTGAATACAAATTGCGAACGTGAAAGATAATTGTCGCATATAAAAAATGAAATTATTATTATTTGATTTTTGTGGTTTCAATTTTACTATTAGATGTGGTTATTCAGTGTCGTGCAGATGTAATTCGAAGGTACACACAAAACTAGGGGAAATGTCCGAACCAATGACAGGTATATAGAAGACAGGATAAAACGTGGGATGAACAAGAGCAAAAAAAATTGTATATATGATCCAGGGAGCAGGAGCGATTGTATAATATAATCTTATCCGATCCGGGTCCAGGTTCAGGAATGCTGTAACCGGATTTTGTGTCGGAACGTATTTGAATATTCCAATAAATAATCCAAAACGGTTTTCTCTCTGTGTGTGTGTGCGTGTCTCTGCTTTTTGATGTCTACGTGAATACACAACCTGAACTACGTGTCTTTGGCTTATGATGAGAACCAAAGGCTAAAGATCGAAAGGAAAATCGCTTACGATTTTTTATTTGCAAAAGCATAGCAAGAAATACGGTTGTGGAAATATTATTAATGTAATATTGAAATATATAATAATTTGCATTGCAAAACTTATCTAATCTAAATGTTAATGTAAAATAAATTCAATTTTGAAATAGACAAAAACAATTATAATTATTAAAATAATCTTTTGTATAGTTTGAATAGATCTTTTATCATAATAATAAAACAAAATATGACAGAAAGACCAATAGCCTTTTGCTTATTGTTCTGTATGAAAATGCGAGCGAATTCCAAGATATCTCAAGCAGATCAGGAAGAAATTGTATATGTTGTCAAATGGAGACGACCAGAGATCTGATGACGATGAACCTTCGGCATACCATATAGTAAGGACTGTAGATGACTCGATGTATCAAGTATGTCTAGAATGTAATTTAATCAGAAGTAAAGAATATGAATTAGTTTTGTATAAATGTAAATAAATAAAGTTATTAAAATAAAGAAAAACATAATTGCCAATTTTATTAATTAGCTATTCTTATTTATTTATTTGATTTCGGAAAAATCGTTTATTATTGAATAAACTCACAGCAAAATATTTTTTTGTACATTCATTTGATAATTAATCTTCATTCTACATATAAAAATAGATACGAAGATATTTTTTTCAAATTTTATAATAATTAGCTATTATAATATTATAAATATAAACTGAAAGAAGTAGTGAGTGAATGAATTACACTTGCATTTAGACAAAGAATACCTGAGAATATCTTATTCCGCTAAATTTTGTAATAACATTTGTTAATACTAAAACTTATCTGAACATATAAAATATATTTTTTTTAATTTTATTTATATTTTTATATTCAGGTATTGAGAGCGAGCTGCTTATATCCTTTTACTTTTTAGAAATTTTACCAATTTGGTTCTAAATAATTTAGTTCTGGTTTTCTCTTTTACTTCTTTTGGTAATTCGTTGTATACTTTGAACCTCTAGTTAACATATAATAGTTATAACAACTCATTATAGTTTTTCTTTTATATAATTATATAAGTATGTTTTTTTAAACTTAGCTTTGTGTGACTATTGGAATAAATATGAATAAGTTTTTAATAGAAAGAAACGACGAAAGTATTATAAATAATATATTATTTTTTTGTATTTTCTGATTGTTTTATACTGTTCAACTTATATAATTGGACAAATAATGTTATTATTACTAATTTTAATATATGAAAAAAGTGATGCTTAAATGGAATAAACTTAGTTGGAGGAAACAACAATTCGATTTAATAATTCATCATATTTACTAAACGGTGAATGACATGAGAGGAAATGTATTAGAATAGTAGAAATAATGTCAATATTGTGCGATGTGGACTAATGCGTTGCGTCTATTTGGGTCGAACTATTGACGATCGTTTTAGGGTGATTGCCATTAGGTGCGTCCCGAAATTTCATGAGACTGATTTCGGGTTTCGGAGCGATCTGATTGATATTCATGGGAAAATGAATTTCTCCCGTGTGTCCACGAATCTATTGATCTGAACGAAACCAGAGGCGGCGGAGCAGAGACATGGCTTTCGAGTGGCTTTCAACTCCCGAAGCCAAGTGCCTCAACGGAATACATTTTACCCCCAACAACACTTCACTCCATATCTCTGATCAACGGCTCAAAAACCCAACGAAGGTTTTTCTTTATGCCATAACTTACACAACTTTTATTCACTCTCTCCATTCGTTTCCTTCATCAGAATATAATAATAGATCTCGTCAAATTAAGATCATAATCTGCACCATAGAGTTTCTGTATTTAGAAACGTGCCTAGGTTGGACCATTTTTATAATTTGATATGTATAGGAAAAAAAAATCGCATATAAATTATTTGTTTATACAAAAATACTCCAAGCAAAAGTGAAAAATAAGTAAGAAAAAAATATGAAATCCTAAAAAATATTATTATTTGATTTTCTAATAACAATAAAACGAAATAAACAATAAATAGTCAATAATTTTTTGTACTCATATTCCTACGTTCATACAAAAATACTATTAATTGCAGAATGAGAATGTGTTTTCTATTTCAGTAAATGTTTGAATCTATTAAAAAAACAATATACATTGGATATTTTTTAGAAATAATTTTTGTTACAAAATAAAAACAATAAAACAACATTTATAAATAAAAACAATAAAACAACATTTATAAATAAAAACAATAAAATAACATTTATATTTTGATAGCTTTTATATTTGTTTTTGTATAGAATATTTTTAGTTTTGTTTAATTTTATATACAACTAAAATTTAGTGAAATATATTACTTTTTTTGTATATTTGTGGTTCTAAAAACACAGATAATTTTAAGTTGTTTTTTCTATAAAACCTATGCAATTAATAATCAGTCATAAATTAATAAAATTTTAAATAATTTGAAGAATTAATATTTACATCTTTACTCCAAACCCAAAATAGTCCCTCTCTTTGACCGATACCTTTCTCTCTCCTTGAAATTTAAATATAAAGAATCCAATATCACCCTCTCCCTCTCCAAATTCTGTGCCCCTCAAATCCCAAATATCCTTACCAAATTTAAATATCCCACATTATTCCTTTTCCAATACCTAATATCCTTTGATTAAAACCCTTCTAGTACCTACTCTTCTGCTTTTTTTGTCCCTCATTTTTCTCATTTTGCTTTATGTATATATTTTTGTATTTACATGTTGTTTCTTTAAATGTTTGTTTATTTTTTATTAAAAAAAAATATGTTCAAAAATATTGAAATTATTATAGTATTTACGATTAGAAGAACTAAATTATTAAATAAATATTAATCGTATTTTTTGAAAAATAATTATATCATTTACATTTATAAACTGAATATATTTGTTATTGATTAATTATTCATGAAATTTTTATTAAAAAATGTTTTGGTGTTCGAAATTCGGTAAACCAACTCGAATTAATATGGTATTTACAGCAAGCAAAGAAATAGTTGCAGATCCCGAAACTCCAAGTTGCAATAAGTTCATACATCTCACTTGTATGCTCTCTACCCTAAAGTAAACCTGAACTATGTTGCAATCCTAATCCGGTATACTTCACCGAGATACACATGCAAATTGGAACGCGGCGCAGCTCCGCAATAACTTCGAGGATGAACTTGGAATCGATGCAAACAAAACAGGAAAAAAAATTATAACGGAAGAGAACAAGCAAAAAAATTGTTTGATTTTCCTTTTGTTTTTCGTCCGTCATTTTGCTTGTCCTTTTGTTTTCGGTTTGGGAAAGGGACCCCGGATTTATCGAGTCAAACAATGACGCTCGAGGGCGCTCCCGTCCCTACGACGAGATTACAGGGCGCAACCCTTTTATTTCCGTTTATCTTCAGCTGTATATTGGGATGTCGCCCGATCCTCGGTTTTCCGTTCCTCGCCTCGGGACGTGCCGAAGAAACACAATAAGTGCGAGGAAATCTCGCCGTTGAAAACGCTCGCGAATTTATCACATCTTTATACATGGAATTTATTCACGAATCTCGTTTTACCAACCAGGACCTTCTACGTATTCATATTCCGTATAAAATTAGACGTTTTGGAAATGGGAACATTTATCTTGCAATGTAATTAAGAATTTAAAGCTTCGCAAAATATTAATCATACTCAAATATATACGTGTATAACTCACATAGTGCGGGTAATAAGACTATTTGAGGAAATAAAAATATAGAAAAATAAAAAAAAATAAACCGGACTATAATAACTGATTAAAGTTCGATTATGAGTGGTATTCTTTTAAGAAGTAATACCTCGAAAAAGTAAAAATAAACGGACAATTTATTGTTTTATTCAGCAATACCTCGCATAGTCTCGTTAATCGGTCAAATTAAGGTAATAAAAATATACACAAAAAGTAAAAATAAACGGACTCTAATGAAAGCAGGACTATGCGTGTAATTGTTTTTACAGAAATATCTCGCATAGTCTCGGTAATCGGACAAATTAAGAAACTAAAAATATACAAAGAAAAGGTAAACATAAATGAACTATAATGAATCCGGACTGATCAAAGCCGGACTATATGTGGAATTGTTTTATTCGGACTAATCGAGAAAATAGAAACCAAAAAATTTAAAAAAATAAACCGATCTATAATTAATACAATTTTATACATACAAAAAAATGATAATAATAAACCGGACTGATCAAATCCTGATGGTATTGTTTTAAACATCAATTCCTCGCATATTCCGGGTAATCGGACAAATCCTAG